GGTCCATGGGTGGCCTCAGATGGTAGTGCATGTGGAGTTATCTCATGGTCGGGAAACTCGAACGTAGTGGGAGAAGTCCTCATCACCGGCCGCCTGCCTGTCCCCACCTGCAGTCCCCAAACCCCACTCACCTCGCACGGTCCTCCAGAAGATGCGGCTGGGGGCCCGGAAGTGGTAGGGGCCTCGGGAAGGGTTGGTGTTCATCCGCTTGCGGAGGAAAGCCAGGTACTTCACTAGTGAGACAGCAGAGTGTGAGGCGTGCCCGGTCTGCCAGCACCCCCAAACTCCCACTTCCAAGGACCTCGTCAGGAACCCCAAATAGCTTCTCCTACCACTGCTGGAATTGCCTTCAGAGCCTCAGCAGCCCACAGGGAGACCCCCTCCAATGCTCCTCCCAGGCTGTCACTTACACTTGTTTCTGTAGAAATTGCCAGAAATGTTGATGCCCTCGCAGCGAACGACCACCACCTTCCGGCCTAGAAGGAGGGAGAGGGTCACAAAGAGCTGAGGGCTCTACCACAGCCTGCGCAGGCACCCCCAGACAGTGCAGTGCTCGCCAGAGCCAAGTTCATGTTTAAGGAAAAGCTAGCCTAATGCAAAAATCACTTCTGAGCTTCGAGTCCCTTGGCCCTGGGGAAGAGTTGCTGGCAGGTCTCAGAGCGGTGCATGGGGTTGATCTCATGGCCGTGAGACTCAAACGAAAGATGGTGAATGTTGCTCATCACCGACCACCAGCGGGGTCTCCACAGGGGGACCCTGGGGGGCAACTTACCCAGCAGTACCTGCTTAGCCACGATGGCCGCCAGGCGGCCCAGGAGATGGCCTCGGCCATCAAGCACCAGGACCTGTGGGAGACAAGGACAGTCTTTTTTTGTCCTCAAGCAAGCATTCCCTTCTTTTGTCCTACCTTGAACCCAGCCATCACAGCTGGGAACTGCACAGAGGCCCACTCTACAGATGAGGAAAAGCGCTGAGAAAACAAGGCTGCTTCACGATCAGTGCGTGAGCAGTGTAAATGCCCAAACTCCTCTCATATCTCAGGTCTTCTATGATTTTTTTTTTATGCTCAGACTGTATTTTGCAAAGCAAGAGGATAAACAAGGACTTCAATGAAGACCAGCAAGGCTCTGCCCACTGATTATCCACTTATAAGACCTTATAACGAACTGCAGGATTTTGGTTTTGAGACAGCATCTTGCTGTTGCACAGGCGGTCAACCCCCCAGATCCAGCTATCCCCCCACCTCGGCCTCTTGAGTAGCTGGGGCCACAGGCACACTGCCACCACACGCAGCTTTTTTTTTTTTTTGAGATGGAATTTCTCAGACTTGAAATGGGTGAGAATGAAATAAAATTTTAAAAAGGAAGAAAAAAAAGAGATGGAGTTTCATGCTTGTTGCCCAGGCTGGAGTGCAATGGTATGATCTCAGCTCACTGCAACCTCCGCCTCCCCTGAAGCTTGGCTTACAGGCTCCCACCACCATGCCTGGCTAATTTTTGTGTTTTCAGTAGAGGCGGGATTTCATCATGTTGGCCAGGCTGGTCTCGAACTCCTGACCTCAGGTGATCCACCAGCATCAGCCTCCCATGTAATTTTTGTACTTTTTTTTCTTCAGTCAAGGTTTTGCCATGCTGCCTAGGCTAGTCTTGTACTTGTGGCCTCAAGCGATCCGCCTGCCTCAGCCTTCCAAGATGCTGGGATTACAGGCTTGAGCCACCATGCCCAATCAATTGTAGAATATTAACAGAATCTATTCTCTGATGTATAGGGTGTTTCTACCAAATTTCATTTGGAAGAAAACCGAACTTCAGGTGGGATGAGGTTAGGCAGAGCAGGCAAAAACCCATGCTAGCTCTACTACTGCATCACTCTCCTTGCCCAGGTAAACTGCTCAGGCACCGCGGCTCACACCTGTAATCCCAGCACTTTGGGAGGCCTAGGCAGGCGGATCACTTGAGGCCAATATGGTGAAATCTCATCTGCTAAAAACACAAAAATCAGCCGAGCATCACGGTGGCCAGCTGTAGTCCCAGCTACTCGGGAGAGTCACTTGAACCTGAGCAGAGGTTGCAATGAGCCAAGATCCTGCCATTGCACTCCAGCCTGGGAGCCAAGGCAACTCCGTCTCGGAAAAACAAAAAAAGAAAATTCCAGAGTAGGCCGGGCGCGGTGGCTCACGCCTGTAATCCCAGCACTTTGGGAGGCCGAGGCGGGTGGATCACGAGGTCAAGAGATCGAGACCATCCTGGTCAACATAGTGAAACCCCGTCTCTACTAAAAATACAAAAAATCAGCTGGGCATGGTGGCGCGTGCCTGTAATCCCAGCTACTCAGGAGGCTGAGGCAGGAGAATTGCCTGAACCCAGGACGCGGAGGTTGCGGTGAGCCGAGATCGCGCCATTGCACTCCAGCCTGGGCAACAAGAGCGAAACTCCGTCTCAAAAAAAAAAAAAAAAAAAAAAAAAGAAAAAAAAAATCCCAGAGTAGAGATCTTTATTGTTATAATGCAAAATCACTAAGCATATATTTGTTGTTGCACGTCCTTTGTAAGTGTTGAAACCCAATACAGATATACACGAATAATCTGAATCCAGACTTCCCGAAGTCCTGACCTTGGCCCAAACTCACCAGTTCCCAAGTTTTGAATCCCTCACCTGTCAAATAAGGTTAACAGTATCTGCCTCAGGAATATCATTAACTAGACGAAACAATGCAAACTGTGCTAGACACACATTCGGTGAACACCACCATTTGGTTAGATCAGCCTGGCTCAGAAATTCCGCCCCCAACACCCAGACTATTCACAAGGAAAGCTTTCCAGGGCCAACCTCCTCTTTATACTTAACTACACAAGGAGTAGGAAAAGGGCCCCCGGGTGGTCTGCAGGCAAAGATGTCCCATCCTCCTGGAACCATTTATCACAGCTCTCGACTTCCAGAAGCCAACAAGCCCCAGGACAATCGCCAATTCCCCAAACGAAAGAAAACGAGTTCATTCTCGAGTGCCCGGCAGGCAACAGCTCTCTCTCGACCCCCCGCAGAAAAGTATTGAGCATTAAAACAACCAGAGCTGCAGGGGACCCCGATTAACACCTCCACGTGAGATCAAAGCAGCCCGCGCACTGGGAACGATGGAAATACCTTCCATTTTGGGCAATCCTCAGTTTCTCACGGCCCCGAAACCGCCCGGCCAGACTTTCGCGTGTTCCCCATCGCCGAGGACACACAAGGGTCCAATTCGGCCAAGACTTGACCCCGGGGCCCCCACCCACTACCCAAGTTCAAGATAAGCGAGGTCTAGTTGTAAAGTAATCTGTCCTGTACTGGGAGCTCCACCCTCGCCTCGAGAAAGAAATGCCGCATTGTAGCCAACTCTAGACCTAAAGAGAGCCTCGTCCTTTTCTACATTTTCCCCTTGCCCCAAAAGATTTCCATTTTGCTTAACTGTGGATGTTAAACTCCGCAACATAGGTAGCAGAACCGAGAGGGTGCGACCCCGTTCCAGTCTGAATCCCACCCGGTCCCATGCCGCCCCGGCCCGCGCGGAGCGCCCACCTGCACCTCTGCCATCTTCGGGAGCCGCCCGGAAAAGGAGGAGAGCTTGTCGCAGGGTTTCTTATCCCTTAAAACAGGGGCGGCAGAAGTGACGCAACGTGGGCCGCGCAAACAGCTTTCTGTGTTGTGATTGGTCAAAGCGTTGTGCGCGCGCGCAGAGATGGCCCACGGAAGGCGGGTTATCTTTCAATTGTCCAATCCAGATATACTTCCGGTCGGACCTCCGCGACCAGAGCTGGGCCCTGCAATAGATCACGTGGGTTGTGGAGGCGGTGCTGCTGGGGCGTGGCCCTCCAGCTTCGGCGGTCGTGTGTTTGAGGAGCTGTAAATCTCGTTCACACGCTCTGTCTGCCATGTTTGTAAGGGGAAGCGCCACTACCCCTTCAATCGACTGAAGGCTGCAGGGCCTCTGGTGGCCCGCAGGGGGAGACCAGACCCCCCCAGGCCCGCCCTTCCACGCTTAGTCCAAACTTACTTTATTTTCTAAGACAGGGTCTCGCTCTGTCATCCAGGTCAGAGTGCAGTGGGGCGATCATGGCCCACCGCAGCCTCGACTTCCCAGTCTCAAGGGATCCTTCTGCCTCAGCCTCTCGAGTAACTGGGACTACAGGGGCGCGCCACCACGCCTGGCTAATATATATATATATTTTTTTGTTTGTTTGTTTGTTTGTTTGGTCAAGGCTGGGACGGGGGCGGTGGGGAGTCTTGCCATGTTGGCCAGGCTGGTCTCGAACTCCTGGGCTCAAGCGATCTTCCCATCTGGGCCTCTCAAAGTGCTGGCATTACCGGCATGAGCCCCGGTGCCCTGCCCATTCTAGGCTTAGAGATTTGGATTCCGGTGTCTGGTCAACTTCACTCTGACCTGGACAAATCCCTGGCCTTATCTGGGCCTCAGTTTCTCCATCTGTAAAACAGGTGGAAGTGGTCTTCTCCAGGGGATCTAGGAGTGGGTGAAGGAATGGCTTCTAGATGCCTGGCTGCACCAATCCACTGAGCATTCCTCAGAGAAACTTCTCACTTTCTGGACTGTTGGCCTTTGCTGGGTCCCTTGCCCAGGATGCCCTCCCCAACCCCTCCAAATCTGGCTTTTCACCATTGCAGTGCCCTTTGGCTCTGGAAAGCCTCTCTGATCTCCCAGCCTGGGTTAGTTGCCCCTTACACCCCTGGGCTCCCACACTGCCTCTATGCTATCTCCACAGGAGCCTGTGGCATCCTGCACCCAGGCACACTGAGTCCCTTGTCTTCTCCTCCATAGCCTAAGAGACCTGGGGCGACTGGGCTGGTTGTGACTCAAATCCGGGCTCTAGCATTAACCAGTCCTGACCTGGGGCTCCAGGAGACCTCAGAAAACACCTATTGAATGAAACGTTGCATTGCAACTGAAAAACCAAGACCGAAATCAAAACTACCCCATCCACACCCATCCACAACAGACCTGGCCAGAGCTGGTAGAAAAAGATGATTTATATACATTTCATGGGGACAACGGCTTTGTACAGAGTTGGGTAAATGGGGCCGGTGCTGGGTTCTGGTGTTGCCTCCATCCTGGGGAGGAAGCGAGGGGGGCATCGGGCCCAAGGAAGGGACCATCCTCTAGCCAACTTCCTCTGTGTCCGAGCTGTGCATTCTCTGGCTGGTGACTCCCCTCTGTGTACCTCAGTGTCCTCCCCTGTAAAATGGGATGATAGATGCATCTGTCTCACCGGGTTCTTTAAGGATCCACAGGCCAGGCACAGAGGCTCATGCCTGTAATCCCAGCACTTTGGGAGGCTTAGGTGGGCAGATCACGATGTCAGGAGTTCAAGACCAGCCTGGCCAGCATGGTGAAACCCCATCTTTACTAAAAATACAAAATATTAGCCAGGCTTAGTGGCGCACCTGTAGTCCCAGCTACTTGAGAGGCCGAGGCAGAAGAATTGCTTGAACCCAGCAGGTGAAAGTTCCAGTGAGCAGAAATCACACCATTGCACTCCAGCCTTGGGTGACAGAGCAAGACTCAGTCTTTTTTTTTTTGAGACGGAGTTTCGCTCTTGTTACCCAGGCTGGAGTGCAATGGCGCGATCTCAGCTCACCGCAACCTCTGTCTCCTGGGTTCAGGCAATTCTCCTGCCTCAGCCTCCTGAGTAGCTGGGATTACAGGCACGCGCCACCATGCCCAGCTGATTTTTTGTATTTTTAGTAAAGACGGGGTTTCACCATGTTGACCAGGATGGTCTCGATCTCTTGACCTCGTGATCCACCCGCCTCGGCCTCCCAAAGTGCTGGGATTACAGGCTTGAGCCACCGCGCCCGGCCCAAGACTCAGTCTTAAAAAACAAAAAAGGATCCCTGGGCAAAGGAGAGGGAAAGTACTTAGCTCAGGGCGGGGCACAGACTCATGCCCAAAACAACTCCAGTCACAGCAAGCGCTGACTGTGTGCCAGGGCATGGCTGTTCAAGAGAACCTGGCCATGATAGAAATGTTATCTATTTTTGCTCTTTAATATGGGAGTAACCAGCCGCATGTGAACAGTGAACACTTGAGATGGGGCCGGTTCACTACTCGGGAGGCTGAGGCAGGAGGATCACTTGAGTCCAGCAGTTCGAGGCTGGACTCGAACTTCTTTTGAGACAGCCTTGCTCCGTCGCCCAGGCTGGAGTGCAGTGGCATGATCGTGGTTCACTGCCTCAACTGCCTCCTGGGTTCAAGTGATTCTTCCTGCCTCAGCCTCCTGAGTAGCTGGGATTACAGGTATTACCAAGCCCGGCTAATTTTTATATTTTTAGTGGAGGCAGGGTTTCACCACATTACCCAAGCTGGTCTTGAAGTCCTAGGCTCAAGAGATCTGCCTAGGAGTTATAGGTGTGAGCCACCGTGCTGGGTGAAATACAATAACATTAGTATCAATTACTGGCCGGGTGTGGTGGCTTATGCCTGTAATCCCAGCACTTTGGGAGGTCGCAGTGGGTAGATAATGAGGTGTGGAGTTTGAGACCAGCCTGGCCAACATGGTCAAACCCTGTTTCTACTAAAAATGCAAAAATTAGCCAGGAGTGGTGGTGCCTGCCTGTAGTCCCAGCTACTCAGGAGGCTGAAGCAGAAGAATTGCTTGAACCTGGGAGGTGGAGGTTGCGGTAAGCAGAGATCATGCCATTGCACTCCAGCCTGAGCAATAGTGTGAGACTCTGTCTTAAAAAAAAAAAAGAAAAAAAAACCAGTCTCTACTAAAAATATAAAAAATTAGCTGGGTGTGGTGGCGGGTGCCTGTAATTCCAGCTACTCCAGAGGCTCAGGCAGGAGAATCGCTTGAATCCGGGAGGTGGAGGTTGCAGTGAGCAGAGACTGCGTCACCGCACGCCAGCCTGGGTGACAGAGAGAGAGACTGTCTCAAAATAAAGAAAGACAACCTTGAGTCAAATCTTGGTCGTCACCCTTGAGCTGTGTGACTTTTGGCAAATTATTTACCTCTCTGTGCCTTGGTTTCAGTGAAATGGGATCACAATGGTAACAACTTCTCAAGGAAGTGAGTTCATTTGTAGAAAGCCCAGTATGGCGCCTGCATTACCAGGGCACTCTATGTGTGACCTATTGCTACAAAATGTTAGATTTGAAATGTTCCCAGCTTCTCTTCTCCCTCTCACACCTCCCATGGCTCCTTGCTGCCCCATGCTGGCCCAAGTTACGGGAACACCCTGAGCTTTCTCATACCAAAGGGCTTCGCAAAGGCAGTTCCCTCTTTCTGGAATGCCATTCCCTTCCTGCCCCAGGAGGCTGCTCTGTCCTGGCTTGCAAACTCCTTCAGGTCCCCAGTGAGCTCAATGTCTTTCCCTAATCTCACTCCTCCCCCAGGTCCCCACCACCGTCCACCCATCACTGGGCCAGACCCAGGCTGTCTGCGCCAATTCAAGCCTGTCAGGCCCCAGCCCTGTCCCTCCTGATCTCTGACCCCTGACTCTTTGCCCCACGCACTCCACTCCATCCCCTGGTCCCAGTCTGGCTCAGGCATGGTCCTCCCCCGGGCCCTCCCACAGCCTCCAGCTTGGTCTCCAGTCCCTCTCCATGATGGCCCCAGAGGGGTCTTTTTTTTTTTTTTTTTTTTTGAGATGGAGTCTCGTGCTGTCTCCCAGGCTGGAGTGCAGTGGCTCAATCTTGGCTCACTGCAATCTCCGCCTCCTGGGTTCAAGCAATTCTCCTGCCTCAGCCTCCCGAGTAGCTGGGACTACAGATGTGCACCACCACACCGGGCTAATTTTTGTATTTTTTGCAGAAACAGTGTTTTGCCAAGTTGGCCAGGATGGTCTCAATCTCTTGACCTCGTGATCTGCCCACCTCGGCCTCCCAAAGTGCTGGGACTACAGGTATGAGCCACCATGCCTGACTGGGTCTTTCTTTCTTTCTTTCTTTCTTTCTCTTTCCTTTCTTTCCTTTCTTTCTTTCCTTTCTTTCTTTCTTTCTTTCTTTTCTTTCTTTCTTCTTTTTCTTTCTTTCTTTCTTTCTTTCATTTTTGAGATGGAGTTTCACTCCTGTTACCCAGGCTGGAGTGCAATGGCGCGATCTTGGCTCACCACAACCTCTGTCTCCTAAGTTCAAGCAATTCTCCTGCCTCAGCCTCCTGAGTAGCTGGGACTACAGGCACGCGCCACCATGACCAGCTAATTTTTTGTATTTTTAGTAGAGATGGGGTTTCACCATGTTGACCAGGATGGTCTCGATCTCTTGACCTCGTGATCCACCTGTCTCGGCCTCCCAAAGTGCTGGGATTACAGGCTTGAGCCACCGCGCCCGGCCTCTTTTTTTTTTTTTGAGACGGAGTCTTGCCCTGTCACCCAGGCTGAGGTGCAAGGGTGTGATCTCGGCTCACTGCAACCTCTGCCTCCCGGGTTCAAGCAGTTCTCCTGCCTCAGCCTCCCAAGTAGCTGGGATCACAGGCATCCACCACCACACCCAGCCAATTTTTTGTTTCTTCAGTAGCAACGGGGTTTCATCTTGTTGGCCAGGCTGGTCTCGAGCTCCTGACATGATCTGCTCACTCTGGCCTCCCAAAGTTCTGGGATTACAGGTGTGAGCCACCATGCCTGGCCCTCTTTTTTGTTTTTTTTTTTTTGAGACGGAGTCTCCTTCTGTCGCCCAGGCTAGGGTGCAATGGTGGGATCTCAGCTCACTGCAACGTCTGCCTCCTGGGTTCAAGAGATTCTCCTGCCTCTGCCTCCCAACTAGCTAGGATTACAGGCATGTGTCATCACACCCGGCTAATTTTTATATTTTTAGTAGAGACTGGGTTTTGCCACGTTGGTCAGGCTGGTCTTGAACTCCTGACCTCAAGTGATCTGCCCACCTCAGCCTCCCAAAGTGCTGAGATTAGAGGCAGGAGCCACCATGCCCAGCTCCAGGGGGATCTTTCTGCACCCAGGGCTGCCCCTGCCCTTCCACTGCTCACCACCCTCCATGCCTCCAGTGCCCCTCCCCACCTGCAGACACAAAGTCCTGGCTCCACAGCCTGTGAAGGACTCACCAGGATGAAGCCCCGGCTGGGTCAGTGCTCCATAAGCAGCAGGTCCTGGGGACTGGGGACGGGGGGCACCTGTGGCCCCCAAAGTGTCAGCCACAGGTAGGCCACCCTCTCAGCCCCCCCTGCCCCCTCTGCCCACCCTGCTCACCTGCTCCCCAGCACGGGGCATCCTCTGCCGTGTCCTCTGCCAGTGTAGGCACCAGGCAGCGGCCAGCAGCAGGAGGCCTGTGGGTAGCAGCAGCAGGAAGAGCAGAGGGGACGGCGGGGCTGTTGGCGCTGTGGCCTCCAGGGCCCCAGGACTCTGTGGGGGTGGCAGGGTCGAGGAGTCTGGGGAGAAAGAGGAGGCTAGGTGACCAAGGAGAAGGGCTGGGGTAAGAAGGGAAAGAGAGGCCTGGCTGGTGCTGGCTGTGTGACCTCAGATGGGCTGCTTGGCCTCTCTGTGCCTCAGTTTGCTTATCTGTAAAAGTAGGATAATCATTGTACCTACTTTGTCAGGCTGTCACAAATTAAATGAGTGAACAGGTGGGGTACGGTGGCTCATGCCTATAATCCCAGCACTTTGGGACGCCAAGGCGGGTGGATCACTTGAGGTCAGGAATTCGAGACCAGCCTGGCCAACATGGCGAAACCCCGTCTCTGCTAAAAGTATAAAATTAGCTGGGCATGGTGGTGCAGGCCTGTAATCCCAGCTACTTGGGAGGCTGAGACAGGAGAATCGCTTGAACCCAGGAGGCGGAGGTTGCAGTGAGCCGAGATTGTGCCACTGCACTCCAGCCTGGGTGACAGAGCAAGACTCCGTCTCAGAAAAAAGAAAAAGGTAAACTGAGGTCCAGAAAGAGGAATAAGCTTGCCCTTGTCACCACCAATGTGAACAGGGTGGGGTTTGGGACACACTGCAGTGAAGGAGTGGGGGTGGCTGGGAGCCTTACCGGGCTGACACTGCAGCTCCAGGCACCGGGAGAAATTCCGGCGAGTGATCCAGGGCTTCAGAGCGACCAGCTGCTCGGAGGTCTCCTGCAGGAAGCGGGAGATGTTGGTCTGGACGAATCGAAGACAGCTGCGGGGGGGCTGGGGGCAGGGGAGGGAGACATCATCACCACATCATCCCCCCACCCCCCCTCCAAAGGCCAAAGGCTCTTCCCTGCTGGTGATGCCCAGCAGCAGAGCCCAGCGAGCTCTGGCTCTCACAGAGAGTTTATGATTATTATTATTATTTGAGACAGAGTCTCACTCTGTTGCCCAGGCTGGAGTGCAGTGGCACGATCTCGGCTCACTGCAACCTCTGCCTCCTGAGTTCAAGCAATTCTCCTGCCTCAGCCTCCTAAGTGGCTGGGACTACAGGTGCCTGCCACCATGCCTGGCTAACTTTTTCTTTTCTTCATATTTTTAGTAGAGACGGGGTTTCACCATATTGGCCAGACTGGTCTCAAACTCCTGACCTTGTGATCCACCCACCTCAGCCTCCCAAAGTGCTGGGATTACCATTATTATTATTATTTTTGAGATGGAGTTTCGCTCTTGTTGTCCAGACTGTAGTGTAATGTTGCGGATCTCGGCTCACCACAACCTCCGCCTCCCGGCTTCAAATGATTCTCCTACCTCAGTTTCCTGAGTAGCTGAGGATTACAGGCATGCGCCACCACGCCTGGCTAAGTTTTTATATTTTTAGTAGATACTAAAATATGGGGTTTCCCCATGTTGGTTAGGCTGGTCTCGAACTCCCGACCTCAGGTGATCCACCCACCCCTGACTCCCAAAGTGCTGGGATTACAGGTGTGAGCCATAGAGCCCAGCCTCCTCTGAGTTTAGAGACCCCTTCTCCCCTGTTTTCTTTTGGGGGAAAGAACCCCTCAGTGGCACACTTCATTATGGCCTAGGAAACCTGGCCCCCAAAATGGGAGCAGAGCCCTCCGATGGCCGGTTTCTAGGGACATGTTTTTCTGCAGGAACCGGGCTCTGCAGGGGATTGGGTTCTGGCTCCACATTCCTTGGGTGGCTTTACTTCCAATGCCTAGGAAGGCATCTCCCTCCCCCTCACTTGTCCTCTAAGTTCAGGGCCGACCTGAAAGGCACATTTGGTGACAAAGTGTATCTCTGTGTTCACGCGCTCCAGCAAGCCTCGCATCTTGGACCCAGCCACAGTCTTGAGCCGCTCCATCCAGCGCTGTGCCAGGACCAGCCGCCAGAGGGCGCCGCAGAGCTCCTCCTAGGGGGAAAACCCACGGGTCTGAAGGAGGAGGGGCAGGGGACTCTGATTCCTGGCTTTGCGGAGGGGAGTGCCAGGTTATGCACTCGCCTGAGTGGGGCATCTTGAATCTGTGGTCCCCACCTCCACCCTAGGTCCCTCCCAACGTGACTCACGTCCTGAAGATTGGAGGCCACGGTGACCGGATAATCCTGAAGCAAGTAGTCAGACTATGGGAGAAAACAGGGTCAGGCCTGGCTGAAGACAGCGGGAAACAGAACTGCGGGGACCCAGAGGTGGCAGCAGAGATCCAGAGGGGGGATGGACAAGACTCAGAGAGGGGGAACCCAGAAGAAGCCACAGAACCTTGACCTCAAGAAAGGGCGACACCTCCCAGCACAGTGGCTCACGCCCGTAATTCCAGCACTTTGGGAGGCCGAGGTGGGAGGATCGCTTGAGCCCAGGAGATCGAGACCACCCTGGGCAACACAGGGAGAGAGACCCCATCTCTACTTTAAAAAAAATGGAGAGAGATCCCATGAGGGGGTCGGGGCAGCGCCGCTCACCAGCTCACGGATTTTGACAGCGAAGTCGGAGGAGATGGGGCTGAGCTGGAAGGAGCAGTCCTGGGTCTCACTGAGTTCTGAGCTCAGCAGCAGCAGCAGCAGGAGACGAGTCTGCAGGGGAGGGGGCGCTGGGGTAGCCCTCCGCTGTTCCACACACAGCCTCCTCCTCCGGGCTTCCCACCTGGGCTGTTCTGTCTTCCGTGCTCCTCCTTCCCCCCCCACTCCCCACCATGTCCTTAAACCGTTTCCATACTTTCTAGAGACCTGGCCCCATCTCTGTCCCTCCGTCCCCCGTTTCTCTCTGTCTCTGGTCCAGCGCAGTCCAGTTTGATCCTCCTCTGCCGCACCCCTCTCTCTCCCCATGTCCCCAACGATGGCCATCCTTCTCCCACCGCTTCATTCTCACGACTGCTCTCCTCGCCCGGGTTCCTCCAGCGCTGTCCCTCCCTCCTCCTTCTACACCCCTGTCGCGTGCCTCTCTTTATCTTGATTCACATCCTATTCATTCGTTCCCGGCTCTGTCCACCATCATGCTCCTCTGTCCATCCCCCACTCCCGTCCATCTTCCACTTCACTGTCCATCTCCCCCTCCTCTGTCCATCTCCCCTCCTCTCCATCTCCCCCTCCTCTCCATCTCCCCTCCTCT